CAGGCATATGACATCCATAAGAGTGGATGTCACCTAAGTAGGGCTGTAGGAAACAAGAACAACTGTCATTGGATCATGTTGCTCTCTGGTCAAGCTATGTTAACTACCAGTGCAATCATCCAAAGCTAATTTTTGAGCAATGAATTAGACTATCCAGCAATTTGGTCAAGCTATGTTAACTACCAGTGCAATCATCCAAAGCTAATTTTTGAGCAATGAATTAGACTATCCAGCAATTGTTTTCTTTGATTACTGAAAGAAAGAGCAGAACATATGGTGATAATGTCAAATACTTACTGAACCCTGGGTGTGTGAATCAAATCTTATTATGCACAGCAAGGATCCACAAAACAGATGGGTATCAGTTACTTGTCTTGTTGAGAAAGGCTTGTTTTAGCTTATGGTTTGAGAGTACAGTCCAGTGTGGCAGGGGAAGCTTCTCATGTCCATGGCAGCAGAGACCCAAGGTTTCTTGCTCACATCTAAGTGAACCAAGAAGCTGAAAGGAACAAGTAGCCAGGCCAGACCTCAAGGCCTCATCTCTGAGAACTGTACCTCCTCCTGCTAGGCCCCACTTCCCAAACAGTCTACAACCTTCCAAAAGAGCGCCACCTGCTGGAAACCAAGTGGGACTCACTTTACATATTTACTATAACACCTTCTCTAGAGGCCAGTCTTCTCCTAAAGGCGACCTGAATACCATCTCCTTGTCCTTCCCATGAACTTTCTTCCTACCATTAGCCCTTGTCTCTCATTCATAATGAAAAGTTCCCTCTTTCTTGGATCATTTCCATGGGCTGACAGACATGTCATCCTTTAAAACAAAAAGAATCCTTTGACGTTATGTTCCCTCCAGACAGTCTGATTCCTCAACTCTTTTACAACACAACTTCTTCCTGTAAAAGTTGTCTGTGGTCACTGCTGCTCTTCTAGCCACCTGTTCTTGCCTCAGCCTGCTCCACCAGCCTTTTTTTTTTTTCCTTACAAGGAGGCTTTTATTTTGTATGTAGAGTGCTGGGATGGGGGTCTTGCCTGTAGCCACCCTAGAGATTACCCTGGGCTCTACACACTACCTTGGAAGTAAGGTGACAGAAACAGCGACTCAGCCAATCACATAAATACAAAGCTGGGGTTTCCAGCAGGGCTCCAGGTGGTCAGGTGTGGCTTCAAGGATGTCTAAGGAAGCAGTAGCATGGGAGGGACAAGCACTGGGCCAGCCTTGAGCTGCCACGATGACATCAGGGACAGGGTCTAAGCAGCAGTCCACCAGCCTTCTTTATCTGCATGCTACTTCAAGTCTGTGAACACCCTGCTTTGCCCAATCTATAGGCTACTTAGGTGTCACCATTTTACTCAACTTTTCAGAAGCATTGGCCCATGTTGACCAATCTCTTTCTTAAATCTCTGTTCCTCACTGGGATTTTCCCATACTGCTTTCTCCTCCTTTTCCCCCTAACCTGCTACCTGCAGAGCCTCAGCCTTCATGCTTTTCTTAGTCTCTAAGTGATGGAATGACTCTAGGCTGTGTCCCAACTTTCCCTGGTGGCCATCTAGACCTCATCTTTCTGTGCCAGCCCTTTCAGATACACCTTCTTCGTGCTCATTAAACACAGCCTAAGAACAGCTACAGTATAAATTACATCAAGGTGTCTGCTCTCTCTGGCATCTCTTCTGAATCTCAGCTCTGATAGAGAAAAGCTTTGCTCTTTGCTGTAGGAACTTGAAGCTTAGATGCTCCAAACAGAAGGTACTAAAAGACAGACCTTCCACTTGAGATACAAAAGACCCTCACAGTCAGCTGACAAATTAAGAAGAATCAAGAGGCTAGAATTTCAGTCAGGATCCAAGAAGTAGAACTGGAAGGTAAGGAGGGTCACAACAGCAGCAGAAGATGTTAAATCCATACTTCTCAACTTGTGGGTCACAACCCCTTTGGAATCAAATGACCCTTTTCCAGGGGTCACATATCAGATATCCTGCATATCAGGTATTTACATTATGATTCATAATAGTAGCGAAATTATAGTTATGAAGTAGCAACTGAAATAATTTTGTGCTTGGGGGTCACCACAACAGGAAAAGCATCAGGGTCAAAGCATCAGGAAGGTTGGGAACCACTGCTCTAAACCTTCCAGAGGATATAGAAAAAGGAATGGAAATAGAAGTCTCAGACACTGAAAACAGTTCATCGATGTCAACATTGTACCCGGGCCACTCCAAAGTGAGCAGAACTCACTTAAAAAGGCTGGAAAGCTGTTTTTAATGCCAACATAGTCCAGTTTAACAACAACAAAAAATGGCAACCACTTTTATATAAAATACATTTGAGGCATGAACAGTTTTGATCTTTTATAGGTGTAACACAAAAACTTTTAGTGTTGCTCATGGCTATATTGTTGTATAAACCTGGGCAAGATTCACAACTTTGTTGGCCTTCATTATCTTGTTTCTGAGCTATGGAGAACTACGCCCTGCCTATTGGAGCTGGTATAGTTGGTGAATTAGGTGTGTAAGTTGAAGTTCAGGTGTGGTCTTCAGTGGTCAATTCCAAGCATCATCTGTGGTCAAACTCTAATCTCTGTATTAAACAGAAAGTGGAATTAAATGTCATGAACATGTTGTCTAGTGACATGATTGTGTGGTTAGCAGCCAGCAGCCAAGATTTTAGGATATTAATTGGAATATATTGCAAACTCTATGGAGAATAAAGAACAAAGAGAACTTAAAATATGAGGCAGGAAATGATAAAAATGGTATTTAGTTTGGATGTGTGCCTCCCAATGCATCTGAAGAAAAGTCAACAGAATGTAAGTTCTAATGGGAGAAGTGAGAAATGAGCCATAATTATTCTAAAAGATACAAGGAAAGGAAATTTGGTAGGAGCCTGCAGTGTTATTTTGGGCTACAGTGATGGTTTTGTGTGCCTGGAAAAAGAAATGGGAGTTTGTTTATGAAAAATGGATTGTACATGAAATAAGTACACAGATAGGGAACATTAAGAAGATCAAAATGGTTCCTCTCTACCGTCACTTCATCTCCTCTTCCTTCATCATAAAGAAAATGACCTTCCATCAGTAATCCCATGATTGCATGGTTTTCTGTGTCCCTAAGATCTGCCCAACATCCCCAGGGAAGCCAAGAATGCTAGGAAAAAGGACCATCTGTATGGTCAGACATCAGTAAGATATTTGCCACTTGCCAACTCTGTGATATGAGTTTTGTCTTAACTTGTCTGACCTTCAGGATTAGCTCAATATAGTAGAAAATTTTCTCTTTCAAGGTTATTGAAACAAATACAGATAACATAAACTTGCTGTCACAGGAGAAAGAGCAAATAAATACCTTTAGGCAGAGGCAGCAAGAGTTAAGATGAAAGTGAAGATTCCACTGATTACAAAGCCCTTCTCTTCTCCAAGAGTTCCAGTCCCAGTGTCATGGTCCACATAGCCTTGCACCTCGCTTACATCTGGGAAAGCTCTTGAACTCTTAAATGAAAGCTTGGAGGACAATGAAGCAGGAGCTGGGCATGGGAGAACCAGCTGCTTCACTGAGGCTGTTTATACAGTGGATATGATCTCCATGCTAAAACACTCAGGCACCAGCAATCACAAATTCTCAATGGACAGGGTTTCTTAAATGGACTAGAATGATGGGAATGTCCTTCTATATGTATATTTCTCTTAATGGTTGATGAATAAAACACTGATTGACCAGTAGCCAGGCAGGAAGCATAAGCGGGGCTACCAGAGAAGGAGAATGCTGGGGAGAGAAGTCAGATAAGAGAGGCCAGAGAGTCACCATGTAGAGGCAGAAGGAGTAACATGATAGGGCATTACCAGGTAAGCCAAGAACATGTGGAAATACTTAGATTAATAGAAATGGATTAATAATTAAGAGAGAATTAGCCAGTAAGAAGCCCTAGCCATCAGCCAAACAGTTTATACATTAATATAAGTCTTTGTGTGTTTATTTGGGGCTAATTGGCTACAGGACCAGGAGGAACAGAAATATAGTCTATACTAGATTATTTCATCTTTAAGCCATTCATTTTCCAGTGGCAAAGTGGAACATGTTCTTGCTACCTTCCTTCTGCATCTCACGGTATGATGCATTTTAAGCATGTTTTATCAATTCCATTATAAATGCAACTGTTATGTGATAATTTTAGTTCCATATTTTGCCAAAAAATAGTAATCTATTAGGAAAATATCTTTATTTTTAATATCAAGTTCCTGTATTATGTCCTCAACTTTGGAAATGACTATTGTACCCACCAGAGACCTGAATGAGGGGAGTAGGAATACATAAGTAACTGTGTGGGATGCAGGGATGATAGGGAAGATTTTTACCTCCATGTCTTTCTTATTCATGAGTCCTTTGTGCCAAAAGCTTATTCCTGTGATCTGGTGTCTCTGAATTAGGTTTTGTTATGATGGATGGATGAGTTTGTTATTCCATGGGTGAATCTGGTTCCCCTCCCTTCCCTAAAGTGCCACTGTGTTGTATGTAACTCTCTCTCATATCATTGGTTTCAGTTGAAGCCAGTGCCACCAAAGGATATGAATATTCTCAGAGACAGGAAAATACAATGTCTATAGTTCTGTTTGTTCGTCTTTACCTCTGTTACCCATGTTTTGAGTCTAACAGATAAACAATCAGTGGTCATTCCAATGCCCAGAATTCCCCCACTGTTTCTTCTAAAAGCTTTAGAACTTTAGGTTGTACATTAAAGTACTCTTGGTTGATTTTGTTATGTGGTGTAAGATAGAGGTTTGATTTTATTCTACCTGTGGATGACCATTTTCCCCCAAATCATTTCTTTTTTGTTTGTTTGTTTTTGTTTTTACTAATCTAAGGAAATAAATCCTTCCAATATATTAAGTAATAAATCCAGTTACAAATGCTCCAGTAGGCCTATGTGAAGGGGCTCTGGTAGAGTAACTGAAAACAGTCAGTTATTTACAAGATACACAAGCAGGAATGGTGAACCTAGCCAATGGTCCTCAGAAGCCAAAAGTGTTCTCTCCACTGTAGGCCACATACAAGAATCCATCTTCATCTTTTTCCTTCTGGTAAAGCTGTCCCATAGTTAGGCTGGACTCTGGGACTGTCTTGTCCACAAACAGGAAGGTTGCCTTTTCAGAAGTAAGCTGGGTCCTTTTCCTGGTGATCCACATGAACTGATGTCAGTTCCACAGTGATGTCAGATGGAACCAGGTACTCCCTTTTGTCAATGTCAACAATCTGAGAGCCTGAGACTTTTTCCAAGATCACTGGAACTCTGTTGGGGTACTTAACTCTGATCTTCGAGGATTCCATGTATCTGTGTTCCTGCGAGTGGTCCTCCTTAAACATCCACTTCATGATGGCCCCCAAACCATTTCTTGAAAAGGCTATTTTTTCCCTTCTGTATATTCTTGGATAATAGCATTAAAGCTTCTCAAAGATGAAAAATGATCTTATATCAAACAATATCATTTCCTGGTACATTTTCAAGGAAATTGAAATGAAGATCTCAAGGGTAAGTCTGTCTTCCCATGTTCATTTCTGAATTATTTGTAATAGTTGAGATGTACACAACACAATAGTAATCAGCTTTGAAAATCTTGCAATTTGTAACAACTTGAATGAATTTCCAGGTAGCAACAATCTTAGTTACGTTGAAAGAACAGCTTTGAACTTCACATGAAAACAATGTTCAAGAAGATAAACACAGGGCACACCCAAGACAGGGAAGGGGCAAGCTGTGGTGGCAAACACACTCCCTCCAGAAAAAGAGAGAGAAAGAGAAGGAGCAGATATAGGAAAGGAAATGCATGCAAAGACAGTCTAGATGACATTTGAAAAAGAAGCATTATCTAAAGAAAGATTACAGCATATAGATACAAAAAAATATTTTAACAGTTTCCATTTCATAGGTACAAAAAAATATTTTAACAGTTTCCTTTTCCATGGTCTGCTTTGGAATTCACCCAAAGCCAACTGCTAGCTTGCCTGTTTAGATTCTGTTTCTCTTCTTACTGCTGTCTATCTACCCATAGTTTGTTTGAAAAGTCTAAGAACGAGGACATGAAATGTGAATAACCTTATTTTCCTGACAGTTGGCTTTTGGCTAAAGGTTTTGAGCTGGGAAATGTGACTGAAGTGTGGTTTGTAGAATGTGGGCTTTTGGTTTAGTTGATCTTTCCTTGCACTGTTGCATCCATATGTTCCCCCAATTTACCACATGAAGTCTTGTTTAAGTACAAAAGAGAAAGACTCAACAAACATTTGAAAAGTTTGAATCTGCTCTGTTTCATCTAAACAGTAGAATTCAAGCAACTTCCCAATACAAATGCATACTGCAGTCTGACTGATCCAGTCCTGGGTGTGTGTTCACCAGGAACTGGATCCATCTGGATTTAAAATTTGCATCATCAAAGACTTCATGATGTGTCTGTATTATATAAGGCCAACAATAATGCAAATAAGAGCTCTTGTTTATAAAGATTTAATTATATGAATGTGTGTTTGTCTGTGTGGAGGTGTGCACATATGAATATAGGTGCCTGTGGAGGGAAGGCATTGGATGCTCTGAAGCTGGAGTTACAGGCAATGTGGACATGTGGATGTTGATATCACAACAGCATTAAGTTTCTTAACTGCAGAGCCATCTTTCCATCCACAGTAAATAAAAGGAATTCTAAACTGCTTAGCAAGATAAGTTGTTTTCAAACATTTAGTAGTAAATATTTACTAGTAAATATCCACATACACAAAAACAAAACAAACAAAAAAAATCACAATGAACACAAGAGGTATTTCTCTGCTCATTAAGACAAGCCCAGCCTGGGGTCTTAGTAAATATCCTTCTAGCTATTAGTGCAGATTGTCACTTATACAAGTTACCTCTAACATTGCTTCTTTGTATTATTTTACTATTTCAAGTCATTCCCTAATCTGGCCTGCTTTTCATGCACAAAAATATGTCAGGTTTTGACTAGCACTAACAAAACTATAGAAAAACACATGTGCATCTAATGGTGTGGGGTGTGGAGAAAGAGAGAGAGAGAGAGAGAGAGAGAGAGAGAGAGAATAAAAACATGGTTTTGACCACTTAGGGTGACTTAGGGATGAACTAAAAGATCTCTGAGGACAGTGAAGATTACAAATGTGCTTTGGAAGAGAGTGCTGTCAAACCCAATTTGTCTAGTAGGACCGCTGCCACCACAGTCCAAAGTTCCTTCTACATCACCATGACCCACAATCTGAAGAAAGACAACACACCAGCACATATCTGGAGATTCTGTAGCTTCATTGGGTACCTAAGAAGTTTGTGGGGGCTGTCCCAAGCTGTTGAGAAGAAATATGTCATGCCTCTAACTTAGTGATACACATTTTCTTTTAGAGTCATCATCAGAAGATAAAGTTTTTTAGAGTCATCATCAAAAGATAAATTTTCCTTTTTCCCCTTAAAAACACAGAGTCAAGAAGCAGCAAAGGGAAAAAGGAAGAGCCCAGAAGTCCCATGTTGTCCCAGACTTTCAGGTGTGAATCTACATTCCACTGAGCTCCCACCAACCTCTGAAAAGCAGACAGTTCTACTCAAATTCAACTCAAAAACTTGTTTTAGCAAGATAAATCTTTTGAGAAAAGCCACATAAGACAGTGAAATTTCTGATATAGTGAGGACAAAATCTCTAACAAGATGAAACTTACCTCACTCAGAGAAGAACATTTATTTACTCTATGTGCTGTCTACTATTGAACTTTATACAGTTCACAGTCTTTTGGTTATTTACTCACCTGCTCTGCCTCTCATCCTTTCATGTTTCTTAGAACAATTACTTCATAATCCTATTGTCAGTATCTGAGGAATTCGGGTTAAGGTATGAAAAAAAAATCAAATTTAGTCATTCAAGGTCCATACCCCTAGAGTGACCTTATTCCTGACTGGGGTACTTATTTGGTTCTGAGGCAGGAGAATCAAAAACGATGGTGGATAAAATTCCAGAAATTAATATAAAAGATGGTAACAACTGGAAGACTGGCAACTGTTAGCCTACCTGGGCTTCCTTCAAAGAAGCATGCCCAGTTAACTCATGGTTAAAAGAACTTGACAAGATGGGAAACTGTGTTAAGAATCCATAAGAGGTCACTGTGGACCTGGTTTTGCCCCTTTTGTGTCTTCTTGAACCCAAGGCCATGGATGAGAGGCAGCACACCCCTAGGCTGTTCTCTGCCCCCCCTTGATAAACTGTCCCCTTTCCTGTAACTACCCATGTGTCTCTGCACAATTTGTTATAAAGAATCACAAGAGGCAAGGACCTGGGTGCACCAGCTGTGGCCTTCTTAACTGAGATCTGAGGCTGTTAAAGATCTGGGCCAAACATTACCTGGAAACACAAACTGAGGAACAGCACACAGGTCTATGACACAGCTCAACAGCTGACTCCCAGTGTCATGATTCACCATTCCCTTCCTGCATCTCTCATCCCACACCATCCTCATGTTGTACATTCTCACCTGGGTTTTCCTGTCCCTAACACAATCCTCACTCACTGATCGATCTCATCTTCCCTCTAGGAACATAAAGAAAAGACAGTAATTGTGTCTACTTCTCCTTTTATATATTTAAGATGATTTGAATATAGGTGACATCAAAATGGGCCCACTCTGGTGCTTTTGGTGAGTGTTAATCTTTATTTTGACCACAGAATCAGCACAATGAGCCTGAAGCTGTAAATACACTATCTACACTGCATGCAGCCTTATTCTTAGTCTACAGCAGAGATCCAACTGCCTCACTTAAGGCCAGAATTTGGATGCTGAGATATTGTACAATTAGTGTGCAACTTTGCAAGCTTCAGTTCAACTGATGCTTTAACTGGAAAGATACTGTGGTACATTTGTATGAGAAACTGTTGTTTGAAACCTCCCTCACATGTGATGAACTCACATCCACAATGTTTGAACTCAATGTGCATGAGGACATGGCAGGAGCCGGTAGGAGGGAAGAATTCCCTGTCAAGGGACACACACACACACATACACACACACACACACATACACACACACACACACACACACACACACACACACACACACACACACAGGTTTTTTTCATATTTAAAAAAGAAAATAGAAAATAATGTCTCCTCTCAATCACTGATCTGTGGCTTCCTGCTACAGAGTATCCCAATAAAACATTAATGACCATTCATGTATTTTTTTTAAAGAGTGAAGTAGATGGAAGCTAACCAGGTTACTTTTTGTTGTTGCTGTTGTTGTTATGTCAAATTCATGAAAATTTAAAATGTCCACTGTTTCAGAGTTAACCCACATAATCTACATTTTATTTTAGTAACATCTGAAAGTGCTACACATTCTCCTGTGACACAGGGCTCCTGGGACCCTACAATGTCAGCATTAAGGGTGCTGGCCCCTGGTTTTTACCAGGATAATATTCCCTTGTAACATAGGTCTAGAAATAGACTGTCCGCTGTAGACAGCTCTTTTCAAAAGTTATTGGAAACGTGTAGAAGGGTAGTTTGTGCATGATTCTTACTCTCACAAAGGCAGGATCTCCAATGTTTCAGCTGAACCTGCGGGTTGTTCAATTCAGAGAGCTGCAATGGCTACAAGAAATAAAGTCTTAGGCTGTGGTGGTGAGCAATTGAGGTTTGTTTGACTATTACTAGTGAGGTTTTCAAAGACTATGGGGATGTTTAGTTTTGAAGGAGCAGGCAGTCTAAGGGAATGCAGGGAACATACAGAAGCCTGGACTTGAGTAATGTTGGTAAGTATGGAAAAGTAGGAAAAGTCAAAAGAAGTTCTTTAGGAAGAACTGATGCATCTTTTGTAAACTGACTTCTGTGTTACTGTAACAAGATACTCAGGGCAGTTTAGTTATGAAAAAAAGGACATTTATTTAGGTCAGTTTAAGAAACTCAGCATCTCAAGATAAGGTTTCTCCATGATTTTTGTCTTTGGGGAGATGTTAGATGGCATCCCATCCAGGTAGGAGCACCGTGGGAGCAGAAAGGCACATATCTAACTGGGACAGGGACAGAGGCAGAGGCAGACTTGCATTTTTCAAGCCGTTAAAGAGAATTACTATGATCCAGACAAGGAAGTTTACCTATAATTCCAGAATTTAAGAGACTGAGATAGAAAGATTATGAGTGTGAGGTTAGTCTAGGCTACATAATGAGACTCAAAGCAAACAACTACCATAGGGTCATCTGAGAATTACCCCTTCTGAGAGTGGTGGCCCCAGGGACCCAATGACCCATCTCTTAAAGGTTTCATCACTCCTCTATATCACCTTTGAGGCCTTGGACCGAGCTTCTAACAGATGAACCCTTGACTGAAACCATATATAA